TCATTGACAAAAATACCAAAAGCAAGGGAAAATATTTGGCCATTAGAATCTACCCCAACGACAATCAACATCTTTATATCGTACTTCCCGTCCACATATATATTGTCCATAGAGATTACAGGCCGACAATGGCAAAACCATCATTGGATGGTTTAAATGCCAGAACACATATCTGAATATGTTTTATGGAATGTCAGGACATCAATCGTGCTTCCATTCAACAACTGTCCCGAGATTAAAGTATTGCAAAGCAACCATGTACCTCGGTAGAGCAGCAAATGACTTATCCCAGTTGTCATAAATAATCTCACACGCACGTTTATGCCTAAGAAATGCCTTTATTTTTATAATGGTACACCCTTATACCTACGCAACTAATATTATGCACTCTTTCACCTTGTACCTTATGGATGACTCAATGGGTGGAATCAAGACAAGGAAAATCAAATCAACGTTCAGGTTAAAATGGTTCCCATTGAATGTGTCCATAGTACAAGTGCTTGCCAATGCATTTACCAACCACCCACATATTAGTTTTTAACTTTCTTCCACTCAGCATTGACTTACAACCTTGGTTCCATCTACAAACTACCTTATATCATTTTTTAGATGACTCAACAACCTCGATCTCACGATATTTTTTTATGTTGTAAATTTGCACCGCCCTACTGAGGCGAGCCTTGTCATTGAAAAGCATATTTTTGCATAGCTCTATTGGTCTACTTTCATCTCACATTGTTGTATGAATATCATAAAGATACCTTATAAGGGCATCCACATCCGGCATACTTGGCAAGTGATCAAGGTAGGAAATCTTCCTTGAATAAAAGGGCACATGCAACTCGTACACCGTTGGTCTAACAGTTGGTGGAGTCTGCATATACGGAGTATGTTGAGTGGTGGCATCATATGATCCGTCGTCAAATCTGGTTGCTCATTGTCACTCTCATATGTGAAGTGTGGTTCCTCATCATCGCTCTCATTAGAAGGGTGCTTCATCGCCTGAATCATCAGCATTGATCACTGTCATCTTCCTCACTATGTGCATCTGCCATATCCTGATTCAAAATATCATCATCGCCCAACTGAGTTAGGACAATACCATCACGTTGCTCATTTTTCCTGCACAACTAATCAAATAATTAATATTTTGTACATCTCAACATAATATATTAACTTTAACACTAAAACGTATCATTCATAATTTGTAGATAGCCCATGATGCACATTATTAAAATTACTAATGACTCGAGGATGGACCAGCATGATCCATCCCTCCAAAACTAGATAGATTCCAACTGTTGGTTGGCTTATAACTTGTAAAATTTATATTTGGCCGGTAACCCCTATGAAAGATATAAGAGTTATTACTATTATTATATATAAAACAAATAGTTATACTACAACAAGGTAAATTATAATTTATCTCAACATGTAAATTCTGTAAATTTGGTGACCTTCCATGCTACTGCATTTGCGAGAAATTATGCCCTCACTCCTCGTTAACCTGTGGAGATAAGCTTAGATCGGGCCAGACTCTTTCGTACGAAACCTGTTCGGATAAAATAGCTCCGAAAATACCACCAGATAGTTGACTGTTAGCCTTAGTTTGCGGAACATTAGTATTGGTGACGTCTTCGAACTTTACGTACATTTACAATATGCTTAACACAAGAAAAACCATGTACTCATCCGGAGTCCTCAAACAATCTTGCAGAATTTCATTGTTATCGATGTTAAACTAGGCATAACAAGCTACATCTTGTGGAGTAAGAGAATACGGATATCTTTCGATTACCTTAAGATTAACCGAACATTTACTCACACTCATTCTTTTACAAATTAGAGATACCAATTTGTGGTACTCCAATGTGAGTGACACCTTAACAATATACTGTGTAGACAACAATAGTGCATCAAGTTATTCTCCACCACAGCCTCACCGCCCCAATATAATGCAACCCTAATTTTTCGCTCATCAGACATCATAGCAAGAATCAAAGAGAACTTTGTATATATTGATGAAAATGAAGGGATGTATAAAGGATATTGAAGAACAAAGGAAAATTGGTTCAAATTTTTTCAAGAATGAATATTCGGCCTTATAAATTTCTTAGGCACGTGAAATGTCCATATAGCGCATGTAATATATGCGTTGTACACATAGCTCATGTATTACATGCGCTATAGTGTCAATCATCACGGCAGTCATAATATGCAGTATAAATGCGCTATACGTTAACGGGGTAACTAGCCGTTAACGTATAGCGTATGTAAAATATGTGCTATATATAAAACGGTTCTCATCTCTTTTTCATACCTATTTTGATTTTTTGAGTTCAAAAACTTGTTATTTAGGTTCCGGACTCTCTTAATGATGCTTAAGGCAGAGAACACAGACTATGAACAAGGAGTTGCAAATATTTGTGCAATGTCCTGTTTTTTAAGTACCAAACCCTAAGTGAACCATAAAATTTATAAACGATAACAACAATAGCTAGCCACGTAAAGTGATGACGAAAACTTGTAAATATTCACTAGATTAAAATGACCGTTACATGTAACTGCTCTTATTTCCTCTCCTTTTAATATTCACAAATCATAACCGTGGAAAGAAAAATAGAATATTTATAACCGACCCCATACTTTCCGCACCATAGAAATACTGTGACAACAATTCTCTCTTTCTTTCCCCTCTATTCTCGCTCCTTTCTTAAACATATTTAGCTCTTCATCAAACTTACTTTTTCTTTCGACTATGATAGCAAAGATTCGAGAAATAATTATTGTATGAGAAATGGAAGCAAGCAAGAAAGAGGGGGTGTCTTGTACCAGGTTACAGAAGAAAGCACCCTCTTCTCTACAACTAGAAGATAAGATGAATGTGGATGGTAATTTCAGAGTGCCTTCCAATTTCATGGAAGAAGCTTCCTCTCATTGTGCCATTCCTTTGTTATCTCCACTTATATTTTCTAGCACATCTCTGAATGAAAATGTCAAGTGTGATGATAACATTATAAATGGAAAAGCCAAACATATCATTCAGGGAAATAATGCTCCTATGGAGAAAGGTGGATGGCAACATCCTGCCTTAGGGACATATACAGAACCTTCGACCATTTTCGCCTTGTTTCAGTCGCAATGTGCCCTTGCCAACTTAGGGCGTTAAGGTTTATAGTATTTGATTGGCTCCTGCAGTTGTATAACCTGGTGAATTAGACGTACTATTTTCCAACTTAATGTGAATTGTTTTCTTTTCTTATGATATTAATAAGTCGAACCTTTTGCTCTTACATCATAGTCAGAGGTTAAGGATCGCGTAGTCTGTTTGTGTTGTTTACCTTTTAAACATATTTTGTTTTCTTCTTGGTATTTCATTTGATATTGTGTAAATCATGCAACTATTTTTAGGTGCAAAGGTCTTTCTTGGCTTCCTAACAGTTTGAGAGGAAACTCTCCTCCTCCTTGTCGTCATTAATAAAGTTATCATGTTTTGGAAACCAAATGGATGATCATTACTTGATAAAAATGTGAGGGGGCAAATTTTTAATATCTTACCTATAAAAGAAATACTAGCATAAATTTTACTATATGAGTCACATAACCAACATTACTTATGTGAGTTTAGTTTATTTTTTGACAAATGAGTTAATGTTCTTACTTACTTATTTTAAAGCATAAGCTAAAAAAAGGCAATATTTAAGTCTACTCTCTTTCCTAATTAGAGGATTAACTAATGGACAATAAAAGAAAAAGAAAAAAGAAAAACTCTCCCAAGATCAACGATTTCTAGGTCTGCTCTTTGATAAAAAATATTTTTAATTGAAAATCTAATTTCTTAGGATCCATTCTACGATGAAGAAGAAAACATACACTTTGTGCTAAAAAATATGAAGGAACACTTTGCTGAAGAAGTATAGGCTGTGGGGGACTGTCACGTTAGCTGTTTCATCCTTTTCTTTTTAAAACTCATTTTCTTTTTTAAGTTTGACATAGTTATTCTTTTCTTGTACTAAGTAATTGAATTATTAGACAATGCGATTAGAGATATTTTAGTGTAATTGCTATTCTCAACTTGTTTATTGCGTTGAAGACTGCATAGATCATAATGCATTCTTTCACCTTGGTTTGCTTTTTTTTCTTTGTTATAATAATATGATAATATAATAAAAGAGATCTTTTTCTTTCTTCTTTTTCTTTTATTGTCCATTAGTTAAGCCTCCAATTTAAAAAAAAAAGTTGGCTTAAACATTGCATTTTGTAGCTTTTGCTTTAAAATAAATAAGTACGAACATGAGTTCACTTCTAAAGAAATAATTAGACTCACATGAGTTCATTTTAATATGTGACTCACGTATTAAAATTTCTCGCATCTTCTATATTACGGTGAATTCCTCTACGTTTTAGTTTCATTATTTCTTCCCCTGGTAATCTTCACCAGTGCTGCAAATCACTGCCTTCCACATGGATTTTCATTATCCACTCACTTAAATATAAATAAATCAAAGTCAAAAGGAAAGTGAGGTCCATTAATGCACATCCGGGGATATAGTAACCAATGTTTACACTAAGCCACGTCAATTTACCTTTCATGGTTATATAATAAATTGAGATTATAATCTGTGTCGATTAACTATTTAGATTAGAGATGCATGTGCAATAAAGAGACGTAATGTAGGTGTGAACAAACTTTTTCCGATAAAAATACCAACAGGCTAAAGACTTGATCTATTTTGAAATTTTTCTTCTTTAATTTCCATTTGCTAACACGGGTAAGAAATGTGCAATAAGGTAACAAACTATGTCCTAATATATGAATGAACATCGCACTTCATCGAAACCTAACCTTCCTCCCAAACACCAGTAAGAGCTGCAATTAAACTCAATTGTTACAAGTCACATATCACAACACATGCAAATTGGGAATATATTGGCATGACTGATCCAAGAAGTACACAGTTCATGGAACTATCCTAGAGGTATCATGAGCACAATTCAGCTAAAATAACAGACAAGAGAGAGAGATACCACTGTATTAAATTAAGCCAAAATGTTCCAAAGGCGTACGTACAACACAGGAAAATTATACATTCCTCTCAGATCAAGTTCAAAAGCTCAACAAGTAATCCATATGGCCAAGCAGCAGCTCTTTTACTATATATATACACTCGGCCAACCAAAAAACTTCTCTAGCAATGAGCATTAAGCAACTTAGTCTCCTCGAGTTTTAACTTTCACTAAAATGCCAACAACAAAATAAGTAATCAGCTTGATTGGTTCTTCAATTTGAGCTCCTTTACTGCCAAACTTGGTTTTCCTTCAACTGCCTCAGAAGTCAAACTCTCCAGTTGCCTGGACAAGTAACCAATGAACCAAATAGATCAACTCAGGGATAAAAATAACAGTAACAATGACAAGGGACCTTTTTAGCAAAGAAAATAAAATGCAAATCAGAACAAAAGGTTCTAAATCCAACCTTATTGAAAAGAATGTCTTTATTATTTATGTGCATTATGCCATCCTTAAGGGTGCATTTCCACCTGCTCTTTGTACGTGTCACCTACAGAAGCTTGTATCAAGTCAGCTTTGTAGCACATCAAGACTGATACGACACTTTTGTTTTTCATGATAAACAACATAATGGGGCATACAAAATCTTCCCCTCAATACATTAACAAAAATGATATTTTAACCTTGTCAAATTGAGCCAAAACTAGATGCGCTGTGTTTAGATCCTCCCCTTGGTCCACATCATCAAAATCGTCGTCATCATTTTCGTTCAAGGGCTCATCATCATCATCAACATCATCATTCTGAAGGACGGGAGCAGGAGTAGGCGCTTGCATATCTAAAGGGTGTAAAGAAGAGATTGCAGCAGCATCAGAAGGAGGATAAGTTATAGCCATAAAGACTATGTAGCTGAGAAAATTACCATTTGGTGCTGGTGTGTTGACTATATTATAGTCTTCATTGACCACCCCTTGATAACCATAGATCTTCAAGTTGGAAAATAACAAATAAGGTTACTAGAATACCATTCGAAAGCTATCAGATTTCATGTTTGTCAAATAAATATGACAAGGAGAAGAGAATAAAGAAGTTCTCATCTTCACTCCAATAAAAGAGCTAGAAAGCTTCCTCAAGCATTATACATTATAGGATAGGCACAATAGTAAAAACAGAGAGAAACATGCACACTAAGCGACACTTCTACCTATTAGTTGATCATAGTCCAGAACTGAGGACAGAATCTAGGAATGGATGCGGCAGCTAATTATTCGTGAAAAAGATAACATATCTCAGTCAAAAGTAGAATAGAGTAGCATTAGTTATTTATTTACTCACTTCATCATAAGTTGTATAACCAGGTGACTTTTCACGTAGGTTAAGAGAAAAATTTCAATAATTTGTTATAATTGACTGTTTAAGAAAATAGTAGGAAAATGTGAAAGGGTATGAGATTGCACATTAAATTCTGACTGCCCTTTAATAATAGAATTGCTTTCTGATATAGTGGGCTTCGCCATTGAAGGAAAACGAGGGTTTTTGTCCTGGTCAAACTAAACGGAAATTAGGTCAACCATAATGGATCAGGCCATGCTGCTCTTATGAAAACAAAATTAGTTTCTCACTTTTTTACAAGTAAAAGAAAACAGCATTAGTTTACATTGGCTTGAATTCTTAGATATAGAAATTTTGGCCTTCAACCATAATGGGTCAGGTAGTTTGGATGGGCAAATCAAGCAGAGATAACAGGGTCCCATTTTATGAGAGTAAGGTCGTCTGCTGAAAATTCATATCTAAAGTTCTATACAACCATGTAATTTTCATCCAAAATCAGTGTGGAAGCAGGAAGAAGAAGAAATTATGCTGGATTTCTCCTGCTGGATCTATATTTGCACCACTTTGAAAGCAGGGACAAAAGTTGACCACCAGCCCTTAAAAGGGACACTTGGTGAAAGTTTTCGAATTATAACTAAGGTCTGCAGTGTCTTGGGGCAGCTCCAAACCAACCCAAGCATGCCTTATTCAGTAGAACACTGATTCAATGCTACCCAATCCAAATACATGCATATGTTATTTCATTCAAAAGAAAAGCATGCATATGTTATCTGTATCTCATTGAAATAAGCCCTTTGTCCACATGTACACCCTTAAGCACTGAAAATACCTTTAAAAACCTGTGTTGCTAGGATACGGGTGCAGGTATCCGATACGGCTGTACGTCTAGGACAGATTCTTTATCACATAAATTTTAGGATTCGGGGACACGGATCGAAGTACGGGTAAGGGTGTGGGTGCTGGGATATCACTAATAAATGTATATTACGACATATAAGTATGGGTGTGTGTGAGTGTGACAATCCCTAAATCAAACCAAGTACCCAATTAACCTATACTTCTTGGCCATCGTCAAAGCACCCAAGTTAGGTGACCAAATCTAGTTCGGATCCCACACCCACACCCACACCCAAATAGTGTCGGTTCGACACGAGTACAACAGAGATTTTGAAGGATCCGAGCATAGTTCAAAACTCAAAAGCATTTGAAATTCATTCTGTGTGAAAGGAAACTTTCAAGGCACCCAAAAAATTAAAATGCCACAACTAAAGCAAAAACAGATACATAGCTATGAATGGCAGGCGGTGCGGTGCTTTGTCTGAACCCGCACAATTTCAACCCTCCCCGCCCCGCATAGGATTTAAATCCGCATTCACC